CCGAAAAAGCCTGCACATGTCCGCGAGCGTATGGCTCAGAAGCTATAGCAATTTATTTTTTGGAAGAGCAAGGCTTTGAACTGCATCAAATGATCTTCAAGATGGCTATTTCAGTTCAAAACCCCATACAAATGTAGAGCACTCTCCTTAAAGGGAGTGTTCACTCCCTCTCAATCAATCAATCAATCGATCAAATCGGGCTCTCATCGATGTTGTGCAAGCCACGATGGCTTTTGATTGATTGATTGATTGATTTGATTTGATTGATTTGATTCAAATCATGACTTTTGAGAAGCATATCTTCTTAACAGAAATTGTGCTGTCCCGAGCAATCTTTTCCACTCATTGCATCCCTACAGTGAGGTTATGTCATGTTAGCTGATTGTTACTCCAGTATCTTCAAATGTGGAAGAAATCCAGACGTAATTTGGTACTGCAGAAATTATATAGTCCAATGACTTCATTACTGTTGTTGCCGCCCCATCACTGGGATTAGACAAGCAATGGTATGCATTGCCTGACACTGTCATCATATGTCATGCACATGTTATGTATACCTCTAAAATAAGGAAAAATAGAAAAACAGATTTCACTGAACTTTTCACTTGAACTCTGTACCCACTAAACTTTATTATTAATTTACCATGCTAGATCAGTATGGAACGACAGCACGCTTTCACGGGTTAGATCCCTAATTGGCTAGGATAGGGCGGGCTGCGGGCTGACATAGGGGAAAAAGTGGCGCTTCTAGCTTAAGTGGAACCAATAGTTAGAATCCAACTGTATTTGCATTTATCAAATTTCTGTACGATCAAGTGACTAGGATGATACCATATGAACCACTGCTGGCCAGCTCATTTATGAGGCTTTTTAAGGGAGCGCGACACGCGTCGTCGCGTCCCTCTTATGGAGCACCAGCAACTGCACTGACCACATTAGCGCCCAGAGTCATGGCGCTGCCGATATCTGAGCCCGGGCACGCAAAGGGGAGTCTGACGAGCTAGCCAATTCTGCGACTCCCGCCCCCCCCCCCCCATATATATATATATATATATATATATATATATATATATATATATATATATATTTGTGAGCCTAGCCCACAGGCTCATGCACGAGTGCTTTGCGATTCAGGCTCACAAAAATCGTTAAGCAGGCTGATTTCCCTAGGCCATGTTCCCAGCTGTGTTCGTTTCCCGAGTCAATCCCACCTCCAGCCCCATTGCAGCACAGGCGCGTGGTGCCGACGGTTGCACACGTCACAGGGGTGCGCAAGTCACGCGCCCACCATCACGGCCTGTTTGTGCCGATCAAAAATCAATGACGCCCGGCTCCGGGGACCTGAGCCTGAGCCTCCGACAGCACGAATGGCCGCAGCGTTGTCAGTTGGGCCGCCGCGGTATATATCTGGGTGGACGCTGCACGGCTCCCGTCCCCCACGGCAGACGCTGCGGCGCGGCCTGTCACCCATGCTGGCACCGGGCTCGAGCTGGACACATGCCCAGTCCTCACCAGGTGAATAAGCTGGAAGCTCCCGGCTCCGCGCGAATAAGCAAGCGCTCTGCGACGCACTGAGGGCCGGACAAGACGGGTTGACAAACAGGTTGTCACGGAATAACGTGTGCTGGCGTGGTATCTTGGTAATGGTGTTTATGACGGCACCAAAGAGGATATATTTGGCATTTGTTCTGCACACAAAAAACTGCACACGGCCGTGCATCCCTCTTCCTGAATAATTATGAAATGCTGCTTTTCAGGGAACACAAGCTTGTGGAACTGCAAAAGGCCTGGGCTGTTCACCAGAAACATCAATTTTGTTTGCCTAGCTAAGTATGTCTGCAGAGAATACAAAGCAATGTGCGATGTAAATCCGGTGTGCCTTCTTCCACAAACAGGTCAGAGATCACAGCACAATTTCAACAGGCGTTGTAAAAGTGGAATAGCAGCATTCCGTCTAGCTTCAAGGGCCACTCAGCTGTGATGCTTTTTCATGTTGCTTTGTTTCTTATTTACAAAAGCCACGTCAGTGGCGATGTAGCCATATTTTTCTTTAAATGGCTGGTTGTGTTCCCCGGCGTATAAAGAGAGCTACGATGCGGATCCAGCACAGAATTCCTTCAATACGACAGAGCTTGTAACTCCAGGAACTTGCCGTAATATCAATGGTTTGTTCCCTCACGATCACAAACAGTACAACGTAGATTAGACCTAGATCTGTTCTGGTATACAAAAACGCCCTATATAAGTTGAAAGATTTACGATTCATATTTGTTTTTTCGTAAATATTTTTGTTTCACTTCCCTCCACCCTTCCTGAACAGTCAAGCTTTAAACTGCAGGTCTCAAACCCACAAACCCAAACCCATATAGGTGTTGTATAAGCATGGTATCGATACAACGGCAAACGGATTTGCTGGAAGCTCCAACTTTTATATGCAATCATGTGTGCATGACATTCGGGCTCGATAGGTCAAAGTAACAAAATGTCCGCGCTCACGCCCTTTGATATCAAAGACAGCAGTTGGGTCGTAACTCCAACACTAATTACGATTCAGTTAAGTTCAACTGCATTACTTACAAGCGCAAACTGCTGTGTGGAACATAATATGTTTGAGATATGCACGGTTCTACAAGTCATGATAACAACATTTTTGCGTTTGTACACATTTATATCAAATCGAGCAGTTGCGTTGCGTATCCGAAAGAATAATCATGTTTCAAACTGTGCTTGCGGTGCTCGATATTTCAACGATTCACGATTTTGCGTGGCCCCATCATTAGTGCAAACTGCTATGTGAAATAAGATATGTGTGAGATATTCACGGCTTTACAAGTCACAATAACAACATTTTTTTGCGCTTTTAACCATTCATATTAAAGCGAGCAGTTGCGTTGCGCACCCATCAGAAAACTCATGTTTCAAACTGTGCTTACGGTCCTCGATAGTTCAACGATTCACAGCATTGCGTGGCCCTATCATATTATGCAGAAACATGCATTGCTAATGCCATCATGCAACTGTCTAAGTGACATGCAGCATACGCATGTTATACAATATGCAGCGTATGCATGACATGTTGCGTACACATGGCATACAGTTTACGAATATAAGTCACTGTCATCAACAGCACGCAATAGCTTTGGACGCGAGCAATATTTGCAGTGACTTCATAGGGCATGTTGCTTTTGAGTACACTTCCGGGGTGTTCTGGCGATTCCTCCAGATCCCTCAATAATGACTGTAGCTAGCATTATTCTGAATTCACATTTTTGTACTCCCAAGTTTCAGAGACAAATGCCACTTTTCAGATGAACTGTTTTTAATTTGTATAGCCTTTTTCCCCGGAGAAAAAAAAACAGGGAATGGAGATGTAGACGGGCTGATATTTCAGCAACATGCCTTTATCGAAACAAAGCAGAAGTAAATTCAAATTGCCTGCCGATGATCCTACTGGAACGTTCAGGGTTTTTTAAAAAGCAAGCCGCAGTTTTTACAGGACACCGATTTTCAGGGAATTAAACAAACAGCCATTGCCAGCCGTTACCACAATACAGTGGCTATCTAATAATTTAATGTGCAAATAAGCGTGCACATGCAACAGGCATCACACATCACGCATCAACTATACATGCAGGCGATTTCAATTGAACAGGCATCGCACATAAAAAAGTCGGCGACTACATCTTAACATACAGGGCTCATCGTGGCCGGTCATGCGAACGTGATTTGTGCCTTTATGTGTGATGTGTGCTAGCTTTAAATCGTTTATATGTGTGATGCCTGACGCGTGATGCGCGATGCCTGTTCAGTTGAAATCGCTTGCATGCATGATTGATGCACGATGTGTGATGCCTGTTTACTTCAACTCGGTTGCATGTTTGAATGAAGCGTGATGCGTGATTTCCATTTGCTTGAATTATTTTGCATGTACACGCACGTTTGCGTACTCTAATTTTAGATCCGCGCTGTACCGTGGTAATGGTTGGCAATCGCTCTTAGCTTAATCCCCTGAATGTTGGTTTCCTGTAAAATCTGTGGCTTGCCGTTAAAAAAACTATAAAATCGGGTAGGATCATCGGCAGGCAATTTTGAATTCACTTCTGCTATTGTTTCAATAAAGGCAGATTACGATTACGATTATTGTTGTGTTGCCGAAATATCAACCCAACTATATCTCCATTTTCCTGTTTATTTTTCTCCGAGGTATAAGACTATTACTACTATCGTATCTGTGCGAATAATGTTCCTCGCTAATGCACCGAACAACTTATTTTATTAATCATAAAGTTATCAACATGCCACTAGATGCTGTCGCATCCAGCCTGAAGAATTCCTCATCAGCATTGACAGCGAAGCAGCACAGTTTCGGTTTTGGCAGTCAGGTAACTACAAAATGGTTCGGATGGATACCCAACTTTTCAGTGTAATGTCAGACTGCGATACCCAACCATTCGGTGCAGACAGACTGAATATTGATCGAGGCGTGCCCGACACCAATCGCGAAGTAACAGATTAATTTGGTGTCATGGCAGAGGAAACATGTTCATGAGTAGCACTGACTTTCGAAATTATTTGCATTGAAAACAAAGGCTTTCCCTTTGCTGCATTTTTCTATAACACTTCATGTCTTGTGGGATGCTTGTACGCCGCTTGTAACATACAGCTCAATGTTTCCTAATGTGCAACAAACAGTCAAAGACCTTTCAAATTACACTCACAATGAAATGCGTTGCAAACTGTTTTCCGTCCACTTGGCCGGGCACATGCCCCAGGCGGTGAACAACGTACTTAACGGAACGGGGACTACGCAGGCCGATACCTACTGCAGGCTAATGATGGCCGCGTACCGTTCCAGCTTCCCCTGCCGTACGGACCGCGTCCCCCTCCCCCTCGCCCCGCGCGCGACCGTCAAACCTGCGACCGTCAGCAGGCTTGTGCCGGTCGCCGGGCGAGCGACGCGCCCCAGCAGCGCGCCGGCCGCGGCGCCCAGCGGTACTCACGGGCGAGCTGACTGGGCGGGACCGGTGCCGGCGGCGCGGGACACTGTCGCTGGTCCGAGACGGCGCCGCGTGCTGCCCCTGCGGCGGCCGTGACGACACTGCCCGGCCGGCCGCCCGCCGCCGCTGTTGAGAGCACGCGCCGGGCGGCGCCGCGCCCAGCCTGGCCCGCCCGTCCCGCACTCGCCGGCTGCGGTGGTTCAGCTCAGCGGAGGTGCCCGAGCATGATCTTCAGCGAGCGCTGGACAACACGGGACTGTTTGCTGATCGCCGATAACCACGTCCTCACGGAATTATCTTGTGCATCGTAGTTCTTACGCGGGAGAAAGACAAGATGCGATAGCTAGACTTAACACCTGGTACGCCCAGTCTGGTGTCGGCAAGCATCATTTGGTGTCAGGCTGCTTTGGAATTATCTGATTCTCGTGTTGACTGATCTCACACGGATACTGAAACCTGCGGCAAAACACTGGGGTGAAAAGCCGGGTCCGGGCCTACCTCTCCACGCGGTAGTTCGCGTCCTATATCTGAGACAGCGAGGACGTGGATGAACGTGCAGTTTATGATCATTATGGGTGTGAACAGGCTTGCGACAGCTGCGTCAAGCTAAAACTCGCAGCATCTTTTTAAATGAGCGGGACCTGGATGACTTGGCGCGTATCAGAACCAGCGGTCACGAAACCCTGCCCCTGGTGGGGCTGTGGCGCCGCCTGCCGTCCAAGAACGCGGCGCGACACCGGCGCCACCTGCAGGCACACGAGAAGCGCCATCCGCTGGCAAGCAAGCAGCGCCACCTACACGTGCGCGGGGAGAGCCACCTGTTGAAACAACGTCGGCACTGGCAGCTTCGGGTGAGAAACAGGTGGGTTTGGTTCGAATCTGGTCGATTTCTGGTTGACCAGCCAAAGCGACAAGAGCCGCTCAGCATGGCTTCAGCACCACACATGGCTGTGTGCATTGTGCGGGTATGGTGTCCCCAGGGACACCGCGAGCGTCCTCTCGCGCGTATTTGCAATGCGCTTGAGGTCTGTGACGGTGGCAGCTGACAGTCGGGTGTACGTCTCAGATGTGGGCTTCAACTTACGCCTATGCTTTAACTTTGCACCGATCGGCGAACTAAGCTCCCGGCTTGAGAAAGAGTAGTCTCTACATGATGATAATATCGCTGACATGTATGCAGACAAATGAAAGCTGTCTCTCATATTTTGCAAGATTTGCATAACCCCTTGGATTGGGATCCATCTCCATCCGTGGCACAGATGTGCAAAGCGCCGCTTGGGAACAGCACGATTTTTGCTGAGTACAGGTCATCACTATAATGAAACCTTTTGTATACCTGTTGATATTCGTAACGAAACAACGTGTTCTTCAAAATACGCGCGGCAAACGGCGTGTAAGATCACTCACCACGTGTCAGAATCTGAAGAGCATGGTGTCAATGGTCACTAAAATTGCAGTTGTATCGCGGGGGAAATTCGCTCGTCTGCGAACAAAGACAGGTTGTCCTAACTCATGTCCAACTCTAATTTCGGTTCCTGCTTTCTGTAGTCGGATAGTCACCTGTCTCCGGCCCACCCGGCGCCAGTTTTTCAGCTAAAACGTGCGGAATGAGTGCTCTGTGCATGCTCTTGCTTGCCATCGCCTCTCTTAATGTGCGGCCATTCCCCAATTCCGAGATCCAGTGGTGATTTTACGGATATGTTTAACAGACTGATCGAGCTGGTGACTTCGTCCCCGTGCGGCGTCCGTAATCTTTCCGTCGTGCGGCAGGTAACAGTTCCAGAGCGTTTGCGCCTGGCCAGTGTTTTTAGGTGGCCATGCTTAAATGGGTCGGCATATCAACACGCGGTCACTGGCGACTGCAGCGTGGCGTATCGCCCACCCTTGACAGCCCAGTGGCTGCAAGCCTAGACCAACTGCAGGATCAGCTTCGTGATGCGCTCTGCTCCCCACCCCGACCTTCCCCCTGGGAGACACTAAGATCGGCGTCTTGCTGTACCCTAACGTGATCAGCGAGGGGAACATGATGCCACTGATGGATAAAACCACTCGCTTCTCACTTACGCCCATTACACTTGACCACGGGGCCACTAATCAATTCGACCTGCCACCACTGGTCACCGTTCTCACTGATACCTGCAGGGATCACCAGCCCGTCACCATCACTGCGGGGCTGGGCAGCCTTACAGTCAGCCCTGAAACGCAGGACCCGTTGCTGGCACAGGGCTGACTGGGGCGCCATCCGCATGGACCTGCTCGTCGCTGATGGGGGGAGGGGGGGGGGCGGGGGGAGGAGCTGCACGACACCAATGATGTGAACGTGATGATTAACACATCCATGAAAACATAGAACGATGCCATGGATTATCGCTGCCCGGTCAAAGTTGTTCAGATGAGGCTTCTCAGCTGCCTCTTGCTGTAAAAAAACGCAGCCCCGGACTCCGATGGTTGAGCGGGAGGAGGCGAGGTACACCTGGTTGGCTCTGGGCACCGCGGAGTCTTACACGAACTTAGCACGCGCCGGGCTGGGACAGGGGTGGAAAAAGTATCCTTTCTGTCACCGGCGATATTTGGAACCGTCTGAATTGTCGGCTGGGGTTAAATCTCTCAGAAACCATTGCAATGTATCTCTAAATGCAATAAACCACAAAAAGCTAAAACTAAATTAAGAGTGAATGCAAGATTAAATGCAATGCGGCATAGCCATCGAACACTTTCGTTTCAGGAGCTCATTTGCACTAAGTTTTATCTCTTGGCCAACAAACACTGAATGAGTGTTGAGACTAATCCACCAGAAATATCAGATAAAGGCGTGCTTAACATAACCAGCCTCGAGGCAGGCAGCTACCTATTTAGGTGGGAGGAGGGGGGAGGGGAGGGAGTGGGTCTGTTCCTCCTGACCAAGGATGTAGTTTCCTATTTTAGCTATCATTTTCATCCATTGTTTTTCATTTATCATAATGTAGAGCTTCAGCCCTCAAACACTGATTTCGAGGAACTACACCTCTCCTCCCAGCTGCAAAAAATTAGGGATCAAATCTGGGGAGACAACTGTTTTAAGTGCATTTTGGAGGCAGGCTCAGCCATTTTTCTTCCTGCACCCTCTCCCCCTCCCCTTTCATCCCTCACCCCTACAGATATTAATATTATATCCCCTCCGTACTAAAAACTGGGAAGCCTCCGTCTGACCCTTCGAGCTATCCCCTGTCTCCCTGTCAAGATGAGCACCTAAATTATTTGAAAGAATGGCAGCCGCTCGAATCAGGGCCTACTTAAAGCCGTACAATCTCCTCTGCCCTTACTAAAACGGCTTCCGCCCTGGCCGCTCCACGGTGGACAGCCTAGTCAACTTGTCGATTCAATCCAACGTGGTTTTCAACAAAAAAAAGCTACGGTTATACTATTTTTGGATCTTAAAGCCACATTCCATAGGTAAATAAAACTGCCCCTCTGATTATCAAACTGCACAGGATAGGGGTCCGCGGCCAACTCACCAAATTTTTGCAATTTTTTTAGAGATCGAACTTTTGCCGTTCACCGTGGGAACACGCTGTCAGTACCTACAAAACAGGACCACGGCCTACCACAAGGCGGCGTGGTCTCGCCAGCGCTCTTTTTTATTATGATAAACGGTGTTTTTAATGATTTGCATCAAATTTCGTCACATCCTAACTTTTATTTTTTCGCCGACGACCTGGCGGTGTGGTTTACCTACCCCAGTGTCGATCGAGCAAATCACTTCATACAACTTGCTCTAAATCCCATCCATCAATGGTGTGACTGGTGGGGTCTCGAGATTTGTCCACCAAAATAGCAGCACCAATTTTCTCTAGACAGCCTGTAACTGTTGCGCTTCGAGCCCGTTTGAACCTGCATGGTCAACTCATTCCACTTGTCACCTAATTTAGAGACATGGGGATCACTCTGGATCGCCGAATTGCCTTCTCACTTCATTTTACAGACCTAAAACAACGCTGCACCCCACGACTTGATATTTTAAAATGCCTTGCCGGATGGGAGTGGGGAACCAATAGGCGCACCCTGCTTCGTCTCTATACCGCCTTGCTTGTATCGATCCTGGAATTCCATGCCTTTATGTTTGATGTTATTTCTTTTAGCCAGATTGCCACCCTGGAAACGATCCAGAACGCCGCTCTCCGCTTGTTCGCTGGTGCTCCCCGTACCTTCCCGGTGTCCAGTCTGTTGGCGGATGCACACATGCCACCACTCTTACACCGGCGCAAACAACAACTGCTCAGATTTTACGCGCGGGCAGCTGCCAGACCCACACAGCAAACTTTCAAAATACTAACAGCACCCACTTTACAATCAGGAACTTCACAGCAAGCACTTATCCATCAGCGCCGGCGTAACACAAGCACAACGCCTATTCCAACTGCCACACATTCACACGCTCCCCATGCCTCCGCTACGCCCATTCTGGCTGGACGCCCTGCAACGATTCGTTTTCTGTAGTACACACAAAAACGTACCGTTACAAATATGGAGGTCCAGTCCCTGTTCGCGGAATTTCGAAATGAGCACAATACATACACACACACACACACACACACACACACACACACACACACACACACACACACACACACACACACACACACACACACACACATATATATATATATATATATATATATATATATATATATATATATATATATATATATATATATATGCATGTTTATGTATTGTTGTGTTATATATTATGTTTTATATATATATATAACATAATATACATATATATATATATAACATAAAATATATATATATATATATGTATATATATATATATATATATATATATATATATATATATATTCTGACGGGTCCCGAGACGATGGCTGTACGGGAGCTGCACATATCTGCAATCATTATAGTAAAACTAAACGCGTTTCGGGTCATCACACAGCATACGCATCATAATTAGTCGCAATCTTTTCAGCACCGTGCCACATTAAAAGAAAGCATGTCATCAAACAAACTGCATTTTTTTTAAATAAATTTGATCCGAACCCTTTCAATGGACGGATCTCTGGGATCAGCGCTCACGCTAAGCAGTGCTCGT